ATCATTGCTTTTTTTGAAACAAAACGGATTTCATTTGTACTGTATATTGTTAAATTAGCCCAAGACAAAAGACTTATTAAAAGAAAAATAATGAAGCAGAACTCAATAAAAATTTTTTCTAATATACTAGGTGTCATAAGAATTGTTTTCTTTTTATAAAAATACATTTATTTATATATTTATAGCATAGCCCCTTATTATATCACTTAAGAAATGGTAATACTATAGACTAGTTATATGATATATTAGCTAGTCATCAAAAAATTTTTCTTTAGTATCTTTTTTAGTATATTGTCATAGGATATTACTATCTTGTCATGGAATGATAAGATATTCCTATAAGGAAATAAGAGAGTTCTAGTTGTAAAATGCCGCCACTCGGACTCGAACCGAGATGCGTGAGCATTGGTTCCTAAGACCAACGTGTCTACCAATTTCACCATGGCGGCTTTTGATAAGATTATACCATCTTACTCTAAATTATGTCAATACTGTAGAAATTCTTTTTTGAAATACATTTTTTGTATTTTGAAATTGATTACCTTTCAATCATTATTTTCCCCAAGCAAATGAGGCCATTTATTTTTTTTTCTATTTTTTAGGTTTTCTTTATTAGGTCTTATCTTGAAACTTTTTTCAGTTATTTTTTTACTAATATCTGCTAAAACTTCTTAATTCTTGGTGTGATTTTCTTCAGTGGTAAATTGTTTATTGTGCAATTTATTCATCAATACATTTCCTCTTCTCTTGTGCTAATTTCTATTCGCATCTAAAAATCAATCCTATAGTAATGAAACTTTATCTTTTATTCGACTCAAAGAATTGTCCTTTCATGAACATAATAAATTCCTTATTTTACATACTTTAGACTAGTTGGGTATTTTGATTATAGAAAAGTTTATGTTTTTTCGCGTGTTGTTAATTTATATTCATCTTATTCATACAAATTCCGATTCACTCTAAGGGTAACATTCTCATGCCTTAAAAAGCTTTTATTATATGCATCCGCTTTTTCCTAGTCTATTACTTCGTAATATTGGTTCAAATATTAGTATATTATCTGTGAAAAGTTTTATCTGCATTAGGACAAGCCCTAATTAATGAATTCCCCCACAAGATATCTTTTTATATTTTAATATCCTTAGCCATATTTTTCGTTCGTTAGTAAGAATGTCATATCGAGTTGTACTCAAACATTTCACTATTCGCAACATCGATTATATTACTGAGGTTATTACTCCAATGGAAAGGAAACCTCGCAAATTCAAGAACTTATTAGAGATAATCCCTTGAGAAAAAAATTTCACCTTAAATATATACGCAGACTTAGAAAATTGAACTGCTTAACAGACAAATTCAGGTAACAACTTAATTTACCTGCTCAAATTCTTTATATTATTTATCTAATTACAGGGGGAATCAGATAAGAAAATATTGCATCCATGTTATAAGATGAAATTCTAATATAGTATTTTCTTTCTCCTCAATTTACCATCTTTTAGCTCAATTCGTGACAAATAACTCAAATTTCTCTTAAATTTCTCTTATAAACCCTAAGGTTAGTGGTAGTTGAAAGCTTTAGAAATTTAAGTTAGGAAGAGGGATTAATATTTATTATCTTATATTCTCTATGCTCTAAAATAATTTCATTATAAGAAGGGAAGGATTATATATTTAATATATCTTACTATCTATACTCATATATAATAAAGAATATAATAAGAAGAGACTTGCATATTAGAAATCCTTTCTCAATTCGGATTGGATTTTATAAAAGACAAGTTTTATTCTTTGTAACCCAACAATAAAAATAATACCAATTAATACTAATTAATAGAAAACGGCGATTTTGCTACATAGCTACATTCTATTTATTTTTGTTTATGTATATTAAAGTAGTAAGCTTGGTATATCCGTCGATTAAGTAAAATACAATTCAAGTATACGCTACTATTCACCTCCTTCATAACAAATTAAATCTTTTAAGTTAACTAAAGAAAATTTCCCATAGGAACTCTATCTATATATTATCATTAAGAAAAGCCTCTATCGTATTAGAAAATCGTCCATGGGAAGATTTTCCTAATTTACTAATTAATTTCCCTGTAATCTAAGAAACCTTGGAACTATTATTTGCAAGTGCCGCTTGCCATTTCGATGGTCAGGATAGAAAGTTTGTACTTGGTATTGAGAATCGATACAACCTAACGTCTGAGGGATTTTCTGACGTAAAATATCCTTGATATATAATAAATCATAAAATATATATTCTTTCCATATTATGGTATACTCCATCATGTGTTATCGGTGCTGTTACTTGGGTGTTCCAAGAATAATTATTACTTTTATATTTGAGTTTTATAGGACTTCTAGTTCTTTGTTCATTTGACAAGAATTTTACTGACTGTGGAGTCCACAACATTTTCCATCGTTTTTAGATTTATTACATTAGAAGGAACTTTGTTAGAAATAGATTAGGGTTCCGTAATATTTTTTTTGTACGATAGCACTTGCTCTTATATTTTTATACCTACTACAAGTTTTCCGATTAGTAGCAAAATGTTTTTTTTATATTTACAGCCACAATGATAAACAGAAATGCAATAACTAACAAAGGTTTTGATATATAAAAACAAAGAATATAGCGATTAAATTTTTACCATAAAACAAAAAATATAGTAAAATATATCAGAACCCCTCCACTCCCAATTCCATCCTAGTATTTATATCATGTTGATCTATTCTGGCTTATAAAGTATCCCTGATCTCTTTTTAGTTCATTTTATTAGATAACTTAATAAAATCTTCGTTGTTTAAACCATTTTTTTCAGTTAGTGAAAAAAATCAAAATAGTATACATTCATTTGACATGCATTTTGAAAAGTTTCATAAAAATTTGAACAGATTATTCTTTTTTTTATTCAACACTTTCTGGATAAGAAGTTCTTCGTAAGACCAAATCAATTGATGATTTTTTTTCCCTGTTACTATGAAAATCTTCTTTCAAGTTTTTTCATGAAGAAGAAATCTAGGGGAAGTTTCTAAAATATTATTCAGGTGATCTATGCAAAATACATAATATTCTCTTTGATGATACTCAATCTCAGAATTCTCTATTCATTTATGTCTTCATAACCAATTTTGAATAGAATGTAAGGCTGGATTTTCAATTTTTCTTTTATTTCGATAGAACGATATAAAATATAAAAAAACGCGCCAAACTGACGCCGATCGCCGTCCTTGTATGGAGTAACGGCGATGGATCAGCATATTCACAAAGCACTCATGTTAGTGTTGGTTCAAACCTCTCGGTCTGTTAGGATGCCTCGGCTACACACATTGCTGCGCTTCTACCTGGCACCTATCGTACAAAAACGGCTAGTCTTGCCGTGACCTCTGTTGGTGTTTTTTCACTCAAAATCCACGTGCATTTTTTTTGCTAGCAGGTCTGATACTGCATGCATATTGACTGTGTGGATTTGGGGAGAGCACTCATCTTGAGGTGGGCTTCCTACTTAGATGCTTTCAGCAGTTATCCACTCCGCACTTGGCTACCCAGCGTATACCGTTGGCACGATAACTGGTACACCAGCGGTGCGTCCCTCCCGGTCCTCTCGTACTAGGGAGAGGTCCTCTCAATGCTCTAACGCCTGCACCGGATATGGACCAAACTGTCTCACGACGTTCTGAACCCAGCTCACGTACCGCTTTAATGGGCGAACAGCCCAACCCTTGGCACGTACTACCGCGCCAGGTGGCGAAGAGCCGACATCGAGGTGCCAAACCTTCCCGTCGATGTGAACTCTTGGGGAAGATCAGCCTGTTCACTTTTTGTTATCACAAAAGCTGTTTATCTTTTGTTTCTCCAGGTTTCCCAGGAGGTCAGACTATGTCATCAACTTTTTCGTCGCGGAGTTTGTAATTTATGTCTCATTGATGGGATAATATATGGATCAATTAACTCCATCAAAGTTTCATAACTTTTTCCAGAAATTGCTAGACAATGATACTTTTTGTCGGGTTTTGTCCAACATTGAAGATGCCACTTTTCTCGCAATCCTTCACATAAAGAATCTATTTCTTGCTTGGAAAAAGCTTGTGTATGTAAGGTTGGAAACATAAATTTCATACGAATTCTTGGAAAAGTTGCTGGGCACTCGTGGAGAGATTATTGGTTAACACATCCGCACTCTCTAGTCGTTGAACGTTCTCGTTTACTTTTGTGATTTTACACATGTGTTTTCAACGAGCTTCGCTGCAAGTTAGCATAGCTTGTTTGTGAAGCCTTAGCCGTCCTTGCAATTCACCCAGTTTATTGCCTTCGTGTTACCACGAAGCGGGACAACAGAACTCATCCCTAGAGTAACTTTTATCCGTTGAGCGACGGCCCTTCCACTCGGAACCGTCGGATCACTAAGGCCGACTTTCGTCCCTGCTCGACGGGTGAGTCTCGCAGTCAAGCTCCCTTCTGCCTTTGCACTCGAAGGCTGATTTCCGTCCAGCCTGAGGAAACCTTTGCACGCCTCCGTTACCCTTTGGGAGGCCTACGCCCCATAGAAACTGTCTACCTGGGACTGTCCCCTAGCCTTCTTCTAGGCATAAGGTTAGAATCCTAGCCCTTCTAGGGTGGTCTCTCATCTTCGGCTCGAATGTCCCCAGAAGGACACCGTCTTCGCCTCCCACCTAGACTGCGCAAGAAGGGCCCAAACCCCATCCCAGGGAACAGTAAAGCTTCATAGGGTCTTTCTGTCCAGGTGCAGGTAGTCCGCATCTTCACAGACAAGTCTATTTCACCGAGCCTCTCTCCGAGACAGTGCCCAGATCGTTACGCCTTTCGTGCGGGTCGGAACTTACCCGACAAGGAATTTCGCTACCTTAGGACCGTTATAGTTACGGCCGCCGTTCACCGGGGCTTCGGTCGCCAGCTTTCCCGTACTCGAGTAACCGACTTCCTTAACCTTCCGGCACTGGGCAGGCGTCAGCCCCCATACGTCGTCTTTCGACTTTGCGGAGACCTGTGTTTTTGGTAAACAGTCGCCTGGGCCTGGTCACTGCGGCCCCCCATAGGGGGGCACCCCTTCTCCCGAAGTTACGGGGCCATCTTGCCGAGTTCCTTAGAGAGAGTTGTCTCGCGCCCCTAGGTATTCTCTACCTACCCACCTGTGTCGGTTTCGGGTACAGGTGCCCACTTGCCTTGCTTCTCTTGGCAAAAACCAGAAGGTTTGTGCCTGTATCGGCGTAAGAGCTTTTCTTGGGAGCGTGGCATCAGCTACTTCGGACCCGTAGGTGCCTAGTACTCAGGTTTTTGGCCCTTGAACCGATGACCATTGTTCGGCTAGCTTAGCCTCCTCCGTCCCTCTTATTGCCAGCAAGGGGCAGTACAGGAATCTTGACCTGTTGTCCATCGACTGCGCCGTTCGGCTTGATCTTAGGTCCTGACTCACCCTCCGTGGACGAGCCTTGCGGAGGAACCCTTGGGTTTTCGGGGCATTGGATTCTCACCAATGTTTGCGTTACTCAAGCCGACATTCTCACTTCCGCTTCGTCCACACCTGTTTGCACTGATGCTTCTCCCTAATGCGGAACGCTCCCCTACCGATGTCTTTGATAGACATCCCACAGCTTCGGCAGACCGCTTAGTCCCGTTCATCTTCGGCGCAAGAGCGCTCGATCAGTGAGCTATTACGCACTCTTTCAAGGGTGGCTGCTTCTAGGCAAACCTCCTGGCTGTCTTTGCACTCTCACCTCCTTTGCCACTGAGCGGTCATTTAGGGGCCTTAGCTGGTGGTCTGGGCTGTTTCCCTCTCGACGATGAAGCTTATCCCCCACCGTCTCACTGGCTGACCAATGTTCTTACCTAGTATTCAGAGTTTGCCTCGATTTGGTACCGCTTTCGCAGCCCGCACCGAAACAGTGCTTTACCCCTAGGTAGTCTAGTCAACCGCTGCGCCTCAACGCATTTCGGGGAGAACCAGCTAGCTCCGAGTTCGATTGGCATTTCACCCCTAACCACAACTCATCCGCTGATTTTTCAACATCAGTCGGTTCGGACCTCCACTTGGCTTCACCCAAGCTTCACCCTGGCCATGGTTAGATCACCCGGGTTCGGGTCCATAAACAGTGACATTCGCCCTAGAAAGACTCGCTTTCGCTACGGCTCCGGAAAACCTTAACCAGGCCACTGCCTATAAGTCGCCGGCTCATTCTTCAACAGGCACGCGGTCAGAGATCCCATTCTCCTCCCACTGCTTGGAGGCTTACGGTTTCATGTTCTATTTCACTCCCCGATGGGGGTTCTTTTCACCTTTCCCTCACGGTACTACTTCACTATCGGTCATCCAGGAGTATTTAGCCTTACGAGGTGGTCCTCGCTGATTCACACGGGGTTCCACGTGCCCCATGCTACTCGGGTTAGAGCGTAAGCTAGAGTTACTTTCGGCTACTGGACTATCACCATCTAAGGTGCAGGATTCAGCTGCTTCGCCTAGTAACTCTTAACTCGTGTCACTCTCCCACAACCCCGCTTGCGCGGTTTAGGCTGTTCCCATTTCGCTCGCCACTACTCAGGGAATCGCTTTTGCTTTCTTTTCCTCTGGCTACTAAGATGTTTCAGTTCGCCAGGTTGTCTCTTGCCTGCCTATGTATTCAGCAGACAGTCAAATAGGTTCCCCTATTCGGGTATCTCCGGATCAATGCTTGTTTTCAGCTCCCCGAAGCATTTCGTCGATTTCTACGCCCTTCTTCGTCTCTGGATGCCTAGGTATCCACCATAAGCCCTTCTTCATTTGAACCTCAATCATTTCAACAGTGCTCAACAAATCTATAGGTACTACAATAAACTAGAACTCAAGGGTTGTTCAACATCCATCTACGGTGTTGCTTTATAGCTTTGGCCGTAGGTTAATCAAATCTCTATCGGCTGGAGGTAAGCGGACTCGAACCGCTGACATCCGCCACAGGGTAAGTAGTCGTTCACGCCGATTTCGATGGCAACTAGTAGAATCTAGGTTGCCATCGGGGCGGAGAGTCGCCGACGGCAGGCAACTACTCCCCTCCGAACACAGCCTACAACTCTCATCGTACTGTGCTCTCCAAGGGGCCACTCTGATTTATGCCTTCGTATTAACTGGGGCAACAAGATTTCAGTGGCCCCTCTCCGACCCTCACTGTTCATGGCCATAGGTCATGGGCTCTATGGTCGGTCTGTGACCCTGGGCTAACTACAAGAGTAGGCCCGCTGGGGTGATCTCGGAGTTTCTGCGAGTTGGTTATGATGGGATCGGTCCATGGCTTATCACTCCGAATAAGTGCAACTTGTGCTCGGAGGGATGAAGAGAGATAGTATATCAAGCTGTTCGCAAGGACCAGCTCAATTCTCTTCCCTAGGGGCTACAGGTGAGATAACCCTAGGAGAGCCGCCAACTCCAACCGTAGGCCATGTACGACCCGTCATAGGTCTAACCAAGTGCCCATCTTACCTTTCCTGCACTCTTTATCACACACCTTGAGACAAGAGGCAGAGTTATAAATGGCATGTTCCAGTCCTCCTCCCCATTTCTGGGAAGAAGTTAGCCATCGGTTTCGATAAAGAATACTATCATTACCGCTTAGCAAGCTAAGCTTCCAACCCGCAAACGCAACGACCCAATTGCAAGGGCGGCGCTCTACCAACTGAGCTATACCCCTTCAAACCAAAACATCAATCAAGATGATTGTCACTAGTGTATCCAGTATACCCCCTTGGTGTCAATCCCATAAGCCTCTTTATCTACGACTCAAAAAAAAGAACTCCACTATTGAATTTCACTAGATTGCATCCCATCCAAACAACTAATTGAAATATGAGATGACTATTTTTGTTAATTTGTGATATTCATTCACAATTCCATAGAAAAAGTAAAAGATATTCTAGGAGATAGAAAGAGAAAAACAACCGAGTATTACCAGCGAGTATTACCAGGCTACTAGAATAGGTCTTAAATAACTTAGGAGTTTTGTGAAGAAAATTGAGAAAAGAAAAAAAGATGGTTCCATATGGAAGCCAATTAGTTACAGATCATATGTCACCCACCCCAAAAGATTTTTTTGAAATCGGCTATTTTTTCCATACATTTGTTACCACAAAACACTTATTATGTGGCACGACTAAGTTTGCGTATTGTGTTGCTTTTACCATATAGTGATAATTGTGTGGTACTTCGTTATTATTGCAGTTTGTCCACTAGAGCTCCTTTGTTTGAACTCTCTAAGCTTTGAAACAAAGAGCTCTCTATTCCTCACATATACATCCATCGAAAGTTTGTTCTCCACGCAGTTGTAGAAACCAGGGTGGTATATCTCCTGCTGATGCTAATGGTATAACCTCGTCGTTTTTCACTGGTGCAAGATAAGAATAATTCAACTGGGTAAAGTTTAAGGTTAGATTTATTAAAGTCATGCCACGTGATGTCCGAACTAGAGAAGGATTGTGGATTGTATTTCCTTTTTGTTTCATACGCAAAAAACAAGCTACGGCTCTATAAAAAGTTTGTCTGGTCGGGCACTTCATTGTAATGTTATGCTGTTTTTCAAAAGACCGCAGGTCTTTGCAGTATCTTGTATACAAAAGGTTTCGCTGGCAATTCATTTTCTGGTTGTACGGACTAATACTTTTTCGAAGTATTTTATTGAGAATACATACAAAATTTAGGGCATGTTAATGGTGGTCGTTATGTTTTTTTCCATTGTTTGTATATTGTGGGAGTGGTTAAGGGGGAACGCTTGCGGTTTGTATTGAGATATTAGTCTGGCCCCCCCCTTTGCTTATGTGTATAATGTAAGTTGGTTGTTGTCGGTATCAGGCTCTTCTAGCCCAGTAGTTATCGCTAGTCATAGTCAGTACTTCGTAGGATATTGTAATGAACATTCGTTTTGGATCATTTTCGATAAGTTGTATGACTTTGGTGTCAAAAAACTTTCTGTTTCCAAAGATCATAACTGCATTGATAATGATTGGACCATATTCTGTGCGTTCGAAGCTCGTTCTGGCATATTTGTCTGCTTCACACTCAAGTTCAGTTTGTAAACAACATGACCACTGATGCAATACGATGCCCCAGGTAGGTTTCGAACCTACGACCAAATCGATTAAGAGTCGAAACTCTACCACTGAGCTACTGAGGCACACTAGCACACTATATATGATATATCTTCATTCCAAGTAGTTTCCAGCTAATAATTGCTGTAACATATGAATATCTAAAACTATGGTTTAAACTATGTTTTTTTTTTAGGTTTTATTGATGCATAAATTAATAACCTGTTTATTTATTTGTCTAAGAGTTGGTATGGTTTTGGCTTCCCTTCCCTAACCGAGGATACCGTGCTTAATTTTAAAAACATATTCCTCTGCTTGAAGTGGCCATTCATGAAAGTATTGTGATGTCTTCTTGTAAGCCGCCGTAGTGCCTGCTTCCACACACTGCGTGAGTCTGAGGCGACAGCTTTCTCAAGGGTAGAACTGTCTCGCCTGTTTCCAATAGATAATAAATATGATTTTTGGTTAATACAACAAGGTTTGCTTATCTGATGCCTGTATCAAACAATAATGTTGTAGTAATTCGGACAAGAGCAGAAAATATGTTTCTTTTAGTTCTATCTTGCGTTCATAATAGTATGTTAGTATATTCTTCTTGTTCCCTCGGCCCCCTTGGTTTTTCTTTTTTAGCCCATCCTTTTTTTTTCTCCTATCTCCAGCTATTCCAGTTTTTTTCATACTATTTTCCATACTGAAGCAAATCATGGGACCACGATATTTATAGGCTTATAGATAGAAATCCAAAAAGGGGGGCTGAAACTGTATGGCGCTAATACGTCTTGTAACCTCGATACAACTGTACGGTATTTCTTACAGTTTTGTACCAGTTTAGTGACACTCTTGCATTTCAAGCTTCTATCAGATCTCCCTCAAATGGCTA